CAATGTGTAGGGTCGATGTAAAGACCTAGGGTTTCTGAAGGAAACCCCAGGTTGTCCAAACCAGTACTAAAATATGGGTTTCGTACGGGTATGTACGGGTTAAATATGGGTTTAGTACGGGTTAAGTATGGGTTTAGCACGGTTTAGAAAAACAAGACCCGAGATGTTAGGAACAAACCTGAGGTATGTTTGATTTCACAAGAATACCCGAGGTTCCGATTTTCGACCCCACACATTGATAGGGTTTGCTTGCGTATATATACGGTACATCCAGTCTAACCCATGGGTCCAGGTCTCGAAGACTGACGTACACCGTGCGTAGCGAGTCCAGCCCTTTGGTATGACCGCCTACGCCCGGCTTTCTGCGGCCCCGAGGCCGGGAGGGAGGCGCGGTAGCTGCTGCGCTTGGAGTTCCAGTCCCAGACTTGCCAAAGCGCCTTGGTGGCCTCACAGATCATGAAAGATACCTCCTATAGACGTCTGACCCCTGGTTTTGCTAGGAAGAAGTGGGCTGATTGGTAATAAAATCAAGGTCACTCAGGTTCGAGGCTTCCAAATGCGTTCCCATCGAATTCATGTTTAAAGAAAAGAAGAACCTCCCACAACGACGACCCGGGGGAGATCGGTTTCAAGCTCCGCTCTGCCCCAACTGGGGTGGAAGTTCGTGGTTTGTTTCAGACTGTCAGGCCCTGTGAAGCCATGAGATGCATGAAATCCGGCTCCTACCAAAGCAGAGAGGGTGATCTGGGCAGTGCCAGGACGGTGGACAATGAACACACAACAAGCAGGAAGCTTCATCGGCACCATCGTGGATCTCTCACGACTCTGGGGCCTCACGTCAGTTTTTGGTCGTCACCCTCCGGTCGATAGATAGGGAAACACCCAAGATGTGCGTTCCCAAAAAAAAGAAAGGTGTCTATTGGATTTGGTGGAACATCTTTTGGTCGCCATGTCTATTTTTGGTAGGATTGGTTCACATTCTATCCACTCCACGCTTGCTTCATATTCTCCAATCTTCCTACATCCCATCCCTGAGATCCTGCACAGCATAGAGGTGCTCCCCACCGGCATCCACCGCGCCGAAGGCCTTGCGCCGTGTTTCTTCAGCTTGAGAACTCGCCGGTGGCGGCAACTCCGACCCGGGAGCCCCGAGCTCTCAGAAGCGAGCAGAAGATCAATCCAGTTTGGATCTCCTGATGTATTGATCTTCTGAAATGGAAATGAAAATCAATTCGGAAACATCAGGAATGATATATGAATTGATGTCATGGAAATCAATTCGGAATTATATATAATTTTGTTTGGCAAGCCTCAGTCGCTCCCTGAGCACCAGCAAGCATCAGGCCCCAAGAGTGTGATGAAGGGTCGCCTTGTGTGTGGCCTTCTGAATTCCAGGAATGTCTGGCTTTGGCAGGTGGGGTAGTTTGGCAGTACTTTTCCAGCTTAGTATACAGTAACCTTTCAGCTATATCAAATACCTTTATATCAAATACCTTGTGACTGGGAATGTCATCCACCGCCTGGTGATGGCAAAAACCGTCGAAAAAGAGAATCGACTCTGTAAGCGACGCGACTCGACCGCTTCGTTGAATCAGCTCTGGTGTCGACATCCATCAACTCAGCGCATGAGCTGTGCTATCTATATACTGTGAGTGAAGATGGCCCTCTACCAGGTGCTCTACAAACCATCAAAAACCGGCTTTTCCCTAGCAAGAAAACATGTTTTTGTTTGTGAAAACCTTTCTTGTTCATGGTTTTGAGGGCCACTGGTAGTCTGCACTGCTGAACCTGTTGACAGTGCACTATGCATGGCACCATGACGGGGTTTCCCAGTGATTTTTTTGGAAAATGCAAAGACCTCAGCACTGCAGCTTCTCGAGGTGCCTGCGGTTGTATGGCGCCACCCTCGTCGTAGCTGCACACCAGCGCGCCAGACCTGCACATAAGTGGAAAAGCTGGCTAAAGAGCTAAGACATGTCCAGGAAAGGGCTATCCAGGCTTGGATCCAAACCACTCCAACTGATGAGCAAATGATAAAACAAAAAAATCCAGAAAGCACCATCAAACGACCATTAAGCACATCGAGTCAAGCACCACCCAAATCAAGGAAAGAAAAACAGATCCAGTGTGCGAAATGTTCTCTCCCTTCGCAACTTATTTGTTCACAAAGGCTCAAGTTGGCTCTCGCAACTGCCTGTTTCAATGAACCGAGTAACTTACCGCCCGTCAGGCTGGATATGTGCCATCAAACCTATGGGCAGTGACTCCTTTCCAGCCGAACAAGATCTAGAAGAAGTAGAAACTCCCTAAGCCTTCCTGGCCCACGAGCTGATTTAAGAGTCTGAATCCTGAACAACTAATTGTTTTTACGATGGATTTTAGACGACAACACCAGGTCAAACCTTCTTGAAATATATATATATATATAATCATCTTGGAAGGCCAAGGGAACTGATGATGGATGGTGTGGGGACATCTTACTGTCACCAATCCATTCGTCACCCCTCTCAGATGGATGGTGCTGCCAGGGTGGGGAGTCTTTTCCTCAGGCAAGATACCCGTAGTTCAGTCGTCCTCCCACAGCTTGCTGATTGGCTGTGGGGACAGCGAAGCCCTGGTCTTCCATGTGTTGCGAAGAGTTCTCTTCCAGAACAGTCGGGGTCTAGAAGACAGCAGAATATTGGGGTGGGAATGCTAGCTTTGATGGATTATGTAATTCTTTTTGATTTGTCCAAAAGTAGACATGACGTACTCATGTATACAGATGTATATAGTATACACACAGAACTTTAAGAAAACATGTTGCTATTTAATGCAATCATGCTCTTGAACATACAATCCTGCTACGTATTGCTCTGGCTTTTGATACCTAGTATCTAAACAACTGGCCCACTGGTCGAAAGCCTGGTCCATCGTCCAACCGATGGTCACCAGGGAATACCAGATCGAACGGAGGCTCCCAGGGTCGTCGGTTCGAGAGGAGGTACCGCGCAGTCGGATGACTTGCAACTGGCGTTCGGCGTTCGCTACCAGAAACCTTCGTGTCGCTTCCCCACAACATCCGAAGTTGGGAACGAACCGTGGAGTCGTTTCAATCCGAAGTGTTCAACAGGTGGTTTTCTAAACGAAACCATTGCGGATGTGTTCAGGGAATTGCGGAATGCGAACATCCTGGGTGCTGCAGCTTTTGGTTGATGGGTTGCCGGACACCAGGCTCCACACGGATTCCAGGCGGTGCGGCTCGCAGTTCCGTGGCTCTCCGTGGTGTTCAACACCACCGGTGCTCACGTGACGTTCTTGGACCATCCACACGGCTCCGAAAAATGCGGGGGATTTCGTTGGACCAGTTCTTCGACGTGGAAGCACGTCGTCCCCTCTATCCAATAAAGGAAGCGATGAAAGGAACGATCGTTCGACTCCGACTCTTCGGTTCGGTTCCTTCGGCCTCAGGTCGCTCGCCAACAAACCATCCCCATGCGCGGCCAGCACCACTTCCATCGCGCCCGGACCGGTGCGCGCGGTGCGTGTCGTTCACAGTGGAGACGGCTGGGCGGTTCCGCCGCGGGGGGTCTTGAACTCAGTGCTTGGACTGGCGCCAGCGAGTCGGTATCAGATAGAGTGTCTCTCTGGGTCGGTCGGTTTAAACAGGGAATTGGTCTTGACCTGACAGAGGTCTCGTCCTTTCCTTCACTGAGCAGGGAATGGATCTCGAATTCGACCAGGGAATGGATTTCTGGGAAGTATTGGGGACAAAGATAGTCAAATGCTGCAGAGAGAGTCTGTGCTTTGGGTGATGGAACTTTCAAGAGGTCGGCCAGGCCGGTCAGCCATGGGAAATCCCTCCACACCCAGCTGGATAGGAGTTGTTCCAAAGAAACCGTCGAGCCTGGTGTTGTTTCTCACCACAAGCTACTTCAAAGGCCCTTGCACCTGCGGGCTCACAAGAGTCCGAACCACCTTAACATGCTCTTGTTCTAGCGGTGTCCCATATCGCGATGATCAAAATGAGTTGTCCCTCGCCAGAATATGGATACTTGGATGATACTTGAGTGAGTTGTCGAGATTTCGTGACTGTCCACATGTTCCGACAAAAAGAAGCACTCACAATCCTTTGTTGTATGATGTTGTATGTGTCAGACGGTTTTTCAATTTCAACCGGTGAAAGGAACGACGAACAAACTGATTGGGGGTTCTCCATGGGTTCTGCAGGTGTCTCTATCTTCCAATCCACACTCTCTTCTTTGAGCCGGACTGATTTCGGCTGCGCGACCCAAGACAGCTTCTGAACCAAAGGAGGCGCAAGATTGGGCAGTCCCAACTCAACTTCGGGCAGGTCAGCTGATGAAATCCTAGAGTTGCAAATCTTGCCGAGCATTTGCTGGATCTTCCGTTCCTTGACCAAACTTGATCCCCCTGATTATATAAACCTTGGTCACAAACATAGGCCTATCTTACATACAGAGCTATCCCGACTCTACAGGTCTCCGAGTTCTGGTGGCGTTCAATGCAGACTTCAAAGTCGCAGGTGGTGACCTGGCAGCTCGACCGGGTGACTCGGGGTGACGTCACCGCCGAACGACCATCCGTCACCACCGTGTTCGGTCCGGTCGGTCCGGTCGGGTCCGGTTTTTGGCGGTCGGAGCGAGGATCCGAGGATCTTCACGGACTGCGTTACGCCAAGCATGGAAGCGAACTGGTGAAGGTGTTGGAAGGTGTTGGAAGCTTTGGAAACAATGCGTTTCCAACAATGAACAAAAAGAAAGGTGTGGGAAGCTTTGGTGAAGGCTCCCAAAAGCGTCAAGTGCTCTCTTTCTTGGGATCGGAGTTGAAGATGGACTGCATTGGGGCATGGACCGGGAGACTGCATGATACTGCATCAGTGTATGGTTCCGGTTTTATGCCAAGATTGGCAGTGCGGGTTGCAATTGACCTGGGAGACCAGTTGTCAGCTTGTGCATTGTCTTCCTGGTATATGGGTGACCCAAGATTGGCCAAGAAGCTTGCAATGGCGGCGCCATGTTGGAGGGATACTTGAAGTCTTCGAACTCCCATGGCATCTTGTAGCCTCCCACAGTGCATCCCATCGCCACACATGCCACGGTGTTGGGGACAAGTTGACATGTCGGAGGACTGGTTGATACCACTGATTGTGGTAATAATAACCATAGTACCTCGTCCAACTAATTGTGGTTATACCATACTAATTGGGCTGGAGCCAGTTTTTGGGGGACTAGGTTGGTACCACTGGCACTTCGTCCTGAAGTATACAAGAGGACTGATTAGTGCAGGGGCAAGTTTATCAGTCTCGTAAAATGGATCATGTCGTTGGGAGGACACCAGGGGTGTCCAAGCTATTCTCTGGTTGCAAGGAAAACCGAGCAGCTCGTAGATCAGCGAAACCCAAAGATTGGATCTCAAGCTGCCGCCGGAACAACCATGTGTTTCTGGTTGTTTGCGATTTCCGGGCATCTAAGTTTGTAAGTAGTGAAGTTCCAACAAGTCTGTGTGTTCTTGGATCACATCGCCCGTCTCCCTTCCAAGGTCCTTGCCTGAGAGGTCTCCCTATGAAGGAGCTCACGTCTCCACACGTTTTGATGGTCCCCAAATCTTCGCACAGGCGTACCCGGGGCACAAGAGATCACTCTCTTCGTTGGAATGGTGAAGTCTTTTTCTGAAACATTGACGAGCGCAGGAAGGAAGAAAGGCTGCACCACCTCGAAGAAGAACTAAACCTCGTCTCTACTCTGAAACCAAAAGGCCGATGGAGTTTTTGCCCACCTATGGTCCGCCCACGAAAACAAAGACCCTTTCAGTCACCTTCATAGGTTGATTGCGAATCCCAAATGCTCAAAATCAAGCGCGATTCCCACAAAGGACACTGGTCTCGGGCTACGACATCACTCCATCCGGTATCCGCCTGGGATGTGCAAATTCCCAGTGGCATAGCCCGCCACCGCTGCAACCACCTGGAGGGAGATCAAAGCAGCACCGGACTCCCAAAGTTCGGGGCCAGTGCGCGACCAATTCGATCCGGAAGTCATGTTGCTGACCTCCGGAAGTCATCCTCAGGCCTCTGGGGCGGTGACCACATCGATTGGTTTTCGTTCGACTCAGATTAGGTACGGAGTATATGGATATATGTGTTATAGATATACCCTAGCCTTCAGTCAGCACCGTCCGGAAACCGAACGGGCCCTCCTTGGCAGGGGTCGGACTAACCTCCACCCAAACGCAGGGGGGGTTGAGGGTCACCAAACCCTATGTGTGGGTGAAGGGGCCCGGAGTCGACTTGGGGCACCTCCCAACCAAAAGCGAACTGCCCACCAAACACCCACAGCCCTTGGGCTTTCAGAGAAGCCTTCAAGGGGTCCCTGGGCCCTCCGTCCACCGTCCTGGGCCGCCGTGCCAAGGAGCCCTTGCCGGTGCTCTCGCCGTCGCGAATGCGGCCGCCGGCACCGGTCTCAGCGCCTGAAAGAGGTGATACCTACCCCGCTGAAAACTCACTAACATGCCCAGACACTCCATGGGACTGCTATATATGCCGATCAGGCCAGGGGTGGTTTGGGGGTCAATGGGGCGGCATATATAGCATACATGGAGTGTCTGGGATGGAACCTGAAAACCAGTTTGTAGAGGAAAACAGTCAGACTCAGGGCGCCAGGAACGACCCGGGTCCAGATCCAACTGTGCCAAAGGTCCGAACTCGGCTGGTGAAATTGATGAGAAGGCAGAAAACACCGGCACCTGTTTGGGAAGATCTAGGTATACCCAAGGTTTACCAGGATGGTTGTTATCACCTGTTCAAAGGTCCTGGTATATTTACACCCTAGGCTTACAACAATCATTGATTGAATGGTCTGAATCCCGAACAAGCATTGTCTTGTTAAAGGAATTTACATGAGTTTACCCTACAACAACAGGTCTTGGAAGGCTAGGACACAGTTATCCTGGCAACAAGTGGCTGGGACTGGTGAAACATCCATTTGAAACCTAGGACCAACCAGAAACAGTTCTGGATGGAACTCCCCAGTCCCAGCGTCCCAGCCACTTGTAAAGCATCTATGGCGCTGGCGCCAGAACTTGGAACAGCCATATTTCCGCAGTCCCATCTACCAGGACCTTCCAACAGGTGACAATGATGACACCAACACCGTTTTCGGACGATGAGGACATCCTCCATGGGGCCGGCGTTTGGAAGAATCGGTTGGATTACTCGGGAGGTGTATTTACAACCATCCTGGAGCAGATAGAATATGAACCAATCCAAGAACATGGTCACTTTCCCATGGGCTTCTTGATATCCCCATGCTCTATCTACTCCAGGATAATGATAAGTGTACCACCAGGATATACCAGGACTTTCCAAGGTCCGCTGCTTTTAGAACCCGACCGAGTCCGGTGGTGTTCGGGGCGGATCTGGGAAGCACCGGATCTTGGAGGGGTCCAGGTAGAAGTCGGTACAGGCGTCCCAAAGCTGGATGGCCTGGATGGCTAAACAGTTCCATCACCTGGGCTGGATGAGCCCCTACAGTTCCAGTCTGACCTGTCGGTCCAAACCTGGTCGACATGACCTCCTTGAGTCGTGTTTTTCTATGACCGACTCCACTAAAACCATCTCCTCTCTATGGCTTGTTGGGGCGGGTGGTTGGGGTGGGGGCTGTCCCACCTTCTTTGAGGATGTGGGCTGAGCCCGACCAGGAGTAGCAACAGCAGTGTCACTTTAAGACATACCCAGACGCAAGAATCTGCACCCCACAGATTACGGCCCCAAAACCCCACACCCCACGTCTTCGTGGAGGAAAATCGTCTTCCTTTCTGCTTTTTGGAAGCAACTGGCAAAAGCATGTCTCAAGGATAGCCTCATTGGACAGTCAATCCTTGATCCACATGAGAATTCCCATCCATTTCAAGCCACGCCCCAGCAGGTCCAATGCTACGCTGCTACAAGCCTCGAATCCCCCCCTCCCACCCTTTAGACCCAAACCACCAGCCCCCTTCTTCCTTTGTCCATTCCTCCCCCTCCGCCGCCGCTGGACCAGCGGTGACTGCTGGCCTGGAAAGGGCGCGATGCCGCAGGGGAAGTTGTGGGTCTCCACCGTTAAGGTGATGTCATAGTCCCTGGCCACCTGGCCACGTGGTCGCGGCCAGCAGTGGGCCGAACCGCGGTCGCGCGGAAGAGGGTCCCCAACCCGCGCAGGTCCGAGATGGAACAAGTCATTGCGGGGGGGGTGAAGATGGCTGACTTGCGTGTGTTGCGGTCGCCAACGGCGCAAGTGTTGAACCGGATGCCTTCCATCGCATTGCTACGGCCACAAGGAGACCATGTTTGGTCATGCGAAAAGCGCCCCACTGGGTGGGCAACCTTTTCTCCGGTTTGCGCTCGTGAATCACCTGCCACTTCTCAAGTGCACTCCCTTGCTCCAAGTACGAACCTGGTTCAAGAACCACTTCCCAGCTTCTCCAAAGTCACCTTCCTGGAATCTCTATATAGGTGACCTTTTACAGGCCTGTTTGATTACCTCGCCAACCAGGGGATCAAGTTTGGTCACAAACTGAAGAATCTCTTTCACTTCCATTCTTCATGAACCAACTGACCGGTTGTTCATGTCCTAACCACTCGACCGATCCTTTTTGCTGCAGCTGAGGAGGGACGGAAGTCCTTCACCATGTTCAGATTGCTACATTTCGCCCTCCCACTTGGTCACATAAAATGCTGAGGCCTCTTTTAGACAGGCAACGGGGGAATGGGAATCAATCGCTGTTTGGGCAAAAAGCAGCTTTTGATTCCGAGGCCATGAGATCTCATCCATGAAAATGTTGTTTGGATAGAGGATCTCTCCAAGCATACCTGAATGCCGCAGAACATGCATCTGCCATCGTTCCGCCCAACCAGTGAGAGGACGCACCACACTTTTGAGAGACGACCCAACCTCCAACCCACCGCCCTGGCATGGTCAGTGCTTTACACTACACCTCCCACCGAACCCACCTCCTGGAAGGCTCCCGGCTGAGCAACGGAGCCACTGGGCATGAAGTTCGTGTGGGAATAGCCTGGATGGACGATGGTTTTCACGTTTGGATGGTATCCGTTTCTTGAACGACCTGGATGGCCTGTGATGGCTTGCCCCGACCGTTCTCGCGCGCCTCGCAGGGCGCTGCTGTTGTCGTGGAAGCCGATGACGCTGTTACCTCCCCACGTCACAGCTCGGTCGACAACAGGTCTCGACCCGATGCCTCCAACAGGTCTCTGAGTTTTGGTGGCTGAAATGCAGACTTCAATGTCCCAGGTGGTGACCTGGCAGTGATGCTGGTAGCTGCTTCCATCCTCCTGACCTCTGGACAGGCCTGCCAAGTCCGACTCCAAACAGTCTGGCTATCGAGGTCTAACCAGACACATGTCTGTCAGACACCCATCCGAAAAGACTGCCGTAAGAACCCCATCCGAGTGTTACCACACTGTTTGGTGAAATAGAAAAAAACAAAACTCGAATCATGTCCATGCTCCGACTGGGCCCCCAGGCTGATTCGTTCCTTCAATGGCCGTTTCACCCACTGGAACAAGGTCAAGGGCATCTCCTCGAGATCTCGCGCGGAAGAAAGGCATCTCGAGAGGTTTGTGAGCGACCTGAAAAAAGGACCCGGGGATACCTGCTTTACCCAACTGGGATAGTCAAACTAGAGTTGTTCAGCTGTGAGCACCTTCCCCCCCAATGATCATGGAAGTGGAAAGTTTGCGCTTGGCTTTTGGGTTGGCCAAGTAAGTCATTTTCGAGATCAGCTCACCATTCACGTCGCATCTGCGCTGGTTAAGAACTGAATATGTTGATGATCTGGGTTCGCACGGCTGGTCTTATGTCACCACTGACTGACTATCATGCGCCACGGGCTGCACTGACCATACCTGGGCCAGTTAGCCGACGCAATAGTGCTCAGTGGCACTCCATAGACATCTGCAGAGAAGCAACTCCCTTCTTTAGAGTTGCAGATGTATTTTTGGCCGCTTCTTCTAAGATACCGCTTACATTTAGGCCTTAAAGTATGCTTGATGCACTAAGCCCTATACTGCGTCTAAACCTCAGAAGGGCCTGATTGTCACGGCCTTGCGTTCACCTATGCCGTTCACCTATGCCGTCTCCAGCTGAAAAGATGAAAACACACAGAACAATCATAATAACAATAGACGCGTGGACGTTGACCGTGGTGAAAGCAAATACCTCGCAACTCTTTATGTTGGAAGAAAAGACAGGTGATGATGACTAGAGGTTCTGCACTTTGCACCTTGCTCTTTCGCCTGAAAAGATCCAATGTCATCGAAACATGCGCCAACTCCAACACTCCCCACAAGCAGCGTGAAATTACCACCCCCCCCACCCCCACCAACCCAAAAACCAGATCAACAAGCCGAACCTCCTTTCAGACCGATCCGAATCCAAGCCTTTTTGCGGGTCTGGTCGGTCCCCGGGTCCCGGGGTGTCGGGGTCGCGTCCTCCTCGTCGATGACCACCTTGCCGCCGAAGAACCAATGCCGGGAATGCTCCGAATTCCCCTGCGGCCAGACGTCGCGCGGGGTCTCGGTCCCGGTGGTCGGGTAGGCCCGCTCCAGGGCGGCTCCAGGTGCGAGATCCTCGTTGACCTTTCACCAACCGTCGCAGATCCAATACAAGTGGAGCAGCATGAAATATACAGAATTCTTAAACCTCAACCAGACTCAACTGTCTACGAAACCAGGGAACTAAGATCATGGAAAGTGCAATGGACGTCGCAGCTGGAACAACCATCACCCACCACACAGCTGGAACAACCGTGGCTACAATTGAAAATACAAAACTGTACCCAAACAAGTTGTGTGCAACCGCTTCGACTTGTCAGCAAAGAGGCGCGACAAAGCAGCGTCAGCTTTAAGAAAAAGGTGTGAAGCAACCTGCCAAACCGACTTGTCACCTCCTGGCATCTCAAGTCACTTGAAGGACCAGGTAACTGTGCGGAGGTGATAAATCAAGATCAGCCATCTACCCTCCCACCGGACATCTGTAAAAAACCGTTGGACCCGCACACCCAAGCGCTGCGCAGGCGCAGGCGACCCCCAAAGAAGGCGGGTCGCGAGGTCGAGTCGAACCTTTGCCTGTGCGAGGTCAAAACACTCCACCGTGGTGGGGTCGCGCTTCAGCTCGTCGCGGAAGACCCGCAGGTAGTAGGCGATGTCCTGGGACGAAGAGGGCCGTGCGGTGGCCGCCGCTCGTCGCGTGTGGCCCTTCGGTGGTACTCGTACAGACACCACTTCGTGAAGCATGAGTTGCCGCGCGGGGATGAGTTGCCCGGCTGAGTCGCCCGGTCTCGTTGCCCGTCGACCCGCTAGTGACCAGCGCAGGTGACGGGAGATGAGACTCGGGTCGACTCGGAGAGGTCGAAGGGGTCGAAGCTGGTGGGTCTGACGAGTCCGGTGATCCGGCGATCGACGTCGGGGCAACGGTCCGAGAAGATCGACGTCGAACGGGCAAACGGGCAACGGCCAAAAGGAGCATGGCATAAGCAACGTCAGAAGGATGGAGACCTCCAAGATGACTTTTCTCACACACTCTGGTGTTCCGCTGGTGGGTCCCCCGAAAAAGCCGTTCTCACAAATCCATCGAACTCACTCCTCAAACGCTCCTCACGTGCTCATGCTCGAAGACCGCAACACGGTGAAGCACCAGGAAAAAAACCTGCCCTGAACGCTGTCCATCCCGATCCCGTCGTTACGTCCTGCTCATCATAGCCCAGGCCCTTCTCTTTACTGAGATCCTGCCGTCGCAGGATCAGGGCCGTGCGACGAAAAGAAGGACGAAACCCAGACAAGACACTCCCGACGATGGCAACAACCCAGCTCCCGACGACAGCAACGTCACACCAGCTCAGCTTTGACCAAACGCATCCAATGGACGATGGTGGGAACATGTCTCTTGTGGGGATTGAGTATCTCAGTAGGAAGTTTAGTCACTAGGAGACGCTACTAGGAGCAAAGGGCAATTGCTACTAGGAATAAGGACGCTACTAGGGGCTCCTGGCCTTATTACTAGGAACGAGGACGCTACTAGGAGCTTTTTCGCCGTGAGATACTGAGGTACTAGGACTGGTCATGTCTGTGTCGGGGGGGGTCATGTGGCACTCTCAGGACTCTTATTTGACTACATGATTAACTATATGATGATTGTCTTCATGTCTTCTGCCAATAGCGCGTCTTTCTTCCTTCATGTTTTCTTGCTCTTGGACATAATATGCACCCTTATAGCTCTTATTCCTATTGCTTTTAGATACTTCAGCCACCTGGGGAGTGGTGATGTAGAAAATCTGCCAGCGAGGCAAGCAAACATGCAAGTGACCCATGAGATCCAAATCTGTATGTTGAAGCCCAATCAGTCCAGTCCAGCTATATAAAGCGACAACCTCGTTGTAAGGTCAAGCGATGACAGCAAGCGATACATTGCATTCAAGATCTTTTGGTCTTACGGGCAACATCACTTGTATCCTCGTGGACGCTCCTCAAGTATTCGGTCGTCACCGTCACCGGCCCTCAAACTGAACCAGGTTCTGTTTGCCCGATCTTCCAATGATCGGCTTTGGGTGTTGCTCCGTTTCACTCGGCATTGTCCTCACGATGCCCTCATTCCAACCCAACAGCTTCTGTCTACCCTTACGATGCCGAGCCCGCCTGCCACGCCACCGATCCACCCCCGAGCGGCCCTCGGTGCCTCCAGGGCTTTGGCTCCTTGAGCCATCACTGGGACGCGAGTCCAGCCCTCCGGTTCTTGGTGCTCCTGCAGGGGGAGGACACGACCGCGTCCAGGACCCGACACGACCGGGCGAAAGAGAACGACGAGTTGCGGAAAAGGGTTGGTGGGGAAAGAAAGGGGTCTGTGATATCTGGGTTGGTTGGTTGAACCGCGGGGTTGAAAATGAAGAAATGAATGTGTGACCTCGACCGCTAAAGAAGGCCAAGAAGTCAAAGGCTGGTGAAGTGTTTCTCCATTTTCTCCCGATGAAGTGATGAAGTATTCCTGATGCGATCGAAGCAAGCTAAACAGAACAAAACCATTGAAAACAATTCTGAGAGGGTGAAACAAAAGTAGCGTCAAGCGCTCAGTAGCGAGCTTGACCTCTTGGGGACTGGTCGACCGCACCCTGCGGCCGGCCGACTTCGCCTGGCCGACTTCGCCTGGCCGCAGCCCCGTCCGTTGTGGGCACTACAAACATGGCTAAACTTGGGCATGCCACCTGCTGATCTACTCCAGTGGAGCCACCAGTAGGGAGCCACCTACTGATCTACTTACATGGCATGCATGGCATGTCCACTTGACTTCGAGCTTTCCCCACCCGCCGACAATGGCTGCATTTCTCTAGGTGACTTTGCGACTGGCGAGGCATCAACGCTTCGCCACCGGGTCTTGTGCTTGGGTTTGGTGTTGCCATTGCCGCTGTGTGTGTGTGTGTGTCAATCTTCATGCTTATCTGTCTCCTTCGGTGTTCGTGCGACTCCCGAGCCGAACCGTGGCCGAACCCACCGGGCCGAACGCCCCGGACGACCCACCGTTCTTCTTCTGACCGGAAACCCCGTGTGAGGAACGACTCACCCCCGCATCGTGCACGACCGGTTTCGTTGAACTCTCCTCAAAGGTTTGGATGCCATTGGGATACTCACACTCCTCAGATCGGTTCGGGAGGGCTGGATGCCATCGGACAGATCATATCTATCCGCTGACTCCCAGTTGCGTGGCGTGGGGCGACGCAGCTGAGGACAAAAGAGGTTGACGGTCCCTAGGATTCCGACTAGCACTCATTTCATGGTTTCTTACCCAGCAAAATGTGTTTTATAATTCTACACTACAAAACCAGGTAAACGATTCTTTTCTATATAATGGCGTTTAAAGGCTAGGGCTTTACCACTCTTGGGAAACCACAACGATTGAAACCATTATATTGGCAAGCAACAGTCTCCGAGTCCACAGCGAAGGATGATATTGGCCACAATAAACAAAATACATGAAATAGTACCAGCACCCGACTCTGCAGGTCTCCGAAATGGTGGCTGAAATGCAGACTTTAAAGTGGCAGGTGGTGACCAGTATGTTTGTCCACGGAGTCTACTCTTCTTTCTTTCTCCTGTTCCTTATGGCTCTTCTCAATCCGACTCTCTCGTGTGAAAAGGGAAGAAAGCTGAACGTGTCTGATGTTCTTGGAGTCATGAGGACAATTGCTTTCACTGGCCCTTCTATTTGCAGCTAGTTTTGAAGTCCGTAGCTAAGGACTCGAATTCCAATTGGTTTGATATCTGCATCTATGCCAGTATACCAGTCTGTCAGCCAATCCTTTGGTAAGCAAAAGACATCATGAAAGATCTGTTTCCTCATGCACAACCTTTCTTCGTTCGTGGAACTCCTGAAAAGGGAGTCGCTCGCCCGTGACCAGACCGGTGGAATTGCTTCAAAGGAAACACGCACCGTGTCCAAACGCGGGGGCCGGCTGCTCCACCAGTCCACCGCCCGCTGCAACCGTGAAACCGTGGGTTTGAAACCTGCGCAGACCTGCGTCCGCGAGTGTCGACGGACCATGAGCCTCCTTTTCTCAGGCTTGCCACCCCAGGGGCCGTCATGCGGTCATGGACCAACTTGGCGAAGGTCTTCAAGGACCCCGACGTCGTCTCCACCTGCGATGGAGCGTCGCAGGTGCTGAGGATACAACTCTTCACCTACCTGACCGACCTTTGAGAAGACGACTGCTGGATTAAACTAAGAACTTGTTCTAAGCAACACTTGGCTTGACAGTTGTAGAGGGGGAAGTGTCTTGGTGTACCCTCAGTTTCATCAGACTCTTCCTTTGGAAGGAGTTCAATCAGGTGTGCACAGGCACAGGCTTCTTGGATGTTAGTTTTCTACACACCGATATGCTGTACCCTGAACGGATTGAAGCAAGTGAGGTAGGAAACTAGACGACGAGTGGCCCGAAAACATTTTTCATCACGTATGAAGTCAGAGTGTGAGTTATGTGTTAAGTGTTCAGTGTGAAGTGTTGAGTCGAGTGAGTTGAGGCAGTGTGTGGGTCTCTGTGTGTGTGTGTGTATCTATGTCTGTGTGTGTATGAGTCCCTGTCTGTGTGTGTATCTATGTCTGTGTCTTTGTGTGTCTTTCTATGTATCTATGGTAACGCCCTCACCAGCGGCCAAGCAGTGACAGCTCCGCTCAAGGTCGCGAGCACTCGAGCTGCTGGTAAGGGCAAGTGGTGAAGTTCTTCACTGTAGATATAGCATCTTGAGAGCATTTGAGCTGCTGGTAAAGGGAAATAGTAAAGCACATAGCTCTTCTGTCTGGGAGCCCGACCCTCGCTGAGACGTTACATCCACCTCAGAGTGTCCATTCCTTGAGAAGCAGCGTTCACGCCTCCAGGAAATCTCACCGAACAAACCGAGCTGGAATGAAAATAGAAAATTGCTGAGGCAGCTACGCAACAAGTTTGTCGAAGCAGTGACCTGTCAGAGGAGATGCGTCCATCGATGTACGATCACAGGTAACGTTTCCTTCACCCTAGGACACAGCTTCTCTAGGATGTACTACCAGCTCCCCAGATACTCCGCGTACTACAGTTGTACTACCAAGTCGCCCGTTCTCATCTTAAACCCTAAACTGCGGAGAATAAAACTGCTTCCAGATGTAAGCTTCAACCAATAATCTTCTCCCAAATTTCAGTTGAATAAAGCTTGATGAAACGCACCGATCGATGGCGAGCGGGGGCGAGGAACTCGAGCGGTGAAAAAGGTCTTTTATATATGTTTGTATTTCTTGAGCCAAATATTCATTTGTCCAATGAATTAGAGCAAATCGAGTTTCTCGATCACAAAAGCTCAACGATCATGCAAAACTTCGTTGTGGCTTCTATTTCGTATGTACCTTCTCTATAGGTACCATATGAACATTCCAAGAAACAAACCTGCACTTCACATCTCAGCGTGGTCACTGCTGAAAATCTATTTTTCCGATCTCGATGAATCGAAGATTCTCTTGGAAGAAACTGCTGAAATCATATGCTCACCAAGAAGTTCACATCTCCGGTGTGATTGGTGTCAATGTGAAAAGGCCGGTCGATCCCTCATGCAGTGGCAACACACCCGATGCGATGGAAGGCGCATTGGGTAATCAGCGTCAATGAATCGCTCACATTGGCAGCTTCAATGCAAAGTAGTATTTGCGTCCACCACCAACTTGCAATCTTCGGTGATCTTCACAACACAGGCGCAACAACGAATCT